TCTAATTTTAATGTATCTGCTATTGTTCAGAGCTTGTTTCTATAAGCACATTCCCAGCATGCTGTCTAGAATGAGCATTGGGCTGTTGTTTATGCTAACTGTTTCCATCTCAAGAATGTTCATTATAAAGTTTACTCTTGAACCATCACATGTTTATTCAATTTTGCTATTACCACAAATACTTGAGGGAATATCATTTGCTTTTATTGTCCCAGCCTCACTGGAATTCACCATAGCTCAGTCGCCAGTACACAGTAGAGGAGTGATGGTTGGAATATGGTATGCTTCATGGGGTGTGGGCTATTTTTTCAGCAGTGCTGTACGCTTTTTATTTCATTGCGAGAATGAAAACCTGTGCTCTAAATTCTACTATCATCTGACTACTGTTATCATTGCTTTTATAATTTTGGTGGGTTTTGTTGTAATGGCTAGACGTTATAAGCATCGTGTGAGAGAGAATGAAGTTAATATTGTTCTGATAGTTGATCGTCATTATCAAAAATACATGGAGCAAGAAAGAAAGGCTCTGAAGTAGATTTTGTTAATTTTGTGTGTATTTAATTTTTGTGTTGTTAGTGTATCAAATATAAAACATTTATAATAGCTCTCTTTCATCCTCTCTTTTTGTTCTGAGCAAAATACAGTTACATATTTTGACTAATTTAATTTCAGTTTTTAAATAATATATATGGTTTACTAAAGTTCAGTGCGTTCTATCATTAGTAAGATTCAATGTTTCAGTAAGCAGTATTTTAATGAAAACGTAAGAAGAGGATTAAGATATTTAATAGTTGAATCTGACTTATTGAAAACAAAGAACCATCATAAAGTTATAGAGTATGTGTATGGTGGTTACTTTTAGTATTATGCATCCACATGCATTGCATTTAAATGTAATAGAGATACTAGCCAGGGTCTAATTTTTTATGCATTTATTAGATCAGCAAATCTTAAAATTAAATTTTAAAAAACTAGTAAAAAAGATTTTTACTATTATCGGAAGACAAGTGATTATTCATAAATAAACCTAAACATTGATAAATTAATTTCTATGGAGTGGGACATTGAATGTTTTAAAGTCAGACGCAACATAAACTTCATTTCCAAAAATTTCCTGAGCTTCTTTCAACAATTTTTCAACTGATTCTTCATTTTCCTAATGAAGATAAGTAATGCCTGATATAAATTAAGGCTGGCATAGCAAAAAAGACTGACAAAAAATACAGTGTCTACTAATTATTTTTCAAAATTATGTCAAATAAGACTGATTTACACCACATTGTCTTTTAAAAGGAACAAGAGGTACAAAGTTCAAGTTTATTGCACTACCTATAGATTTTCTAAAATACAGTCATATTTTATTGTAAAAACACCTATTGCAATGATTTATAGTACCAAATACCGAAGCATCTTAATTTTGTTGATATACAAGCTGTAAACAGAATTCATTATAATAGATACATAGCTAGTACATGCATCAATACAAGCCTAATAGAAGCCCCAAGGTAGTACCACCTGGCTGGCTGTAATCATTATGAGTAAAGGCAGGTTTACAATATTACGCTAGGCTTGATGTTATGTTGATGCTGGAGTTGAATTTGGTTCAACTCTAGTGTAAATCATGCTTCAAAAGGTCAAATGGCACATACTTTTGATTAAAAATTGACAGTACGCTGGCCTAATGTCATATTGTAAACCCGCCTTAAAATCATCACAGTGAGAAAACATACTTCGAGTTCTTCATTGAGGTCTTTGTATCTTTGACTAAAATGAGTTAGTATTAGTTTCCGTGCTCCAATACTGAGTGCAAACTCAGCAGCCATACCTGAAAATGTCAGTTGATCATTCAAACTCATTGACACAAAGGATCGTACTAGGGGTTGAATGTCCATTCTCAACACACTTCTCAAAGTGTGAATTTTCATTAGTGGCTTCATGTACAAGTACATCAGCATTTTTTGCTATTTCAGCTATGCGGTAACTATCACAGGTATCACCTAGTATAACTACAAGGGCTACAATCATAATTATTATTGTTTTTATCATACCGATTTTCCTTCCTTTTTCTGATGGCCCAATGACATCACTTGGTGTAATCTACAAAAAATATTAGTAATTATTCAAATTGCAAAATGTACATGTAGTAATTATTCTAGGGCATTTTTAAACGTAACAAATTTTAAGTAGACATTTTTGGCCAAACCTATAAGGGTTTTCCACAAAATTTTAGCATAGTGCTCATGCAGCTTCTTGCCAGTGGATTGTCCAGTTGCTCAAAATTGGGCCAAAGACCCTGCACTATAGTGTCTAATATCTATGCTATAGTACAGGAAGGCCATGTAAATGTCTATTGTATTGCTTGTCAGCTCATACCGTATAAGTGGTTTTTTTCGAGGGTTGCAAATTTAGCGAATTTCGTAGATTCCCTCCTGATTTGCGAAATTAAAATCTGTGAAATCAAATTTTAGCAGATTTCGCGAAATATAACTCCCTAAAAAAACACTTATACGGTAAATCACATGCTGTTTAGCTCACTTAGTATGCTTTGTGGAAAAACCCTGTCATTCTAATCTGTAAATCACTATACTTTTTGCATTGATAAGCCCCAATGTAACTATGTAAACATTACTTTTAAATGGACAGTACACTCACAGTATTGCCAGATGGTGTAATGACAGTTTCACCTTTCTTTAATTTACCATATATGGGGCCAGGGGGTATACCCAATTCCTTAAGCCTTTCAACTTGGAGTCTAAAATAAATAAACAGAGTATATGACATAAGAATAATATCACTATTTGCTAATAACTCTCACAATAAATAAGGAAATATTAATACTCACTTGCCAGGTATATCATCCTCAATGGTAACATAACCAAATGTTGTTACTCTGTGTTTCAGGTGACCTGCTAACACTTTTAATGGCCCAGATATACAGCTAATTGTATGTTTTAGGAGAGATAATTATGAATAGGTATAAGGTACAAAAATAATTAATAAGATTAATCAAGAGTTTGCATAAGTTATTATTGATAAGTAAGAGTTAGCATAAGTTTATTAATAAAGTGAGTACATTACTACTTACACTTCCCACACTCCACTGGCATTTGGTCTAATCTGACATGGTTGCATTTCATTTGGATGAAGAACACTATCTGGAACATAATGAGGATTCCAGTTCTAAAACAAAAAATGCAGAAACAATAGAACTAAAGTAATAAAAGGATATTTATAAATAAGGTGTACATTTACAAAAGTAGCAATACAATAATGATAATAATGCAGCAGTAATAATTACTACGATTATTTACTTCATTACGTACAATTCCATCAATGTCTGATGGGTTTGTATCAGTCAGTAGCTCATGTACTCTATATTTGAAGGCAAGAAAAGAGCGTGAGAGTGAGAGAGTCGTCCTTAAATAATGACAGAGACCATATGGTCCATATATATCCACTGGGATGTGACATCTGTCAGCATTTTGATTTATAGTACATAAGAGACCAGGAAGACCAAACAACTAAAGATCAAAAACAAAAGTAAATTAAATCAGTACTGCTATAATAACAATAATGAAGCACCTGTAACCTATAAAAAAGTATGGCTTCACTAATCACTATATATAATCTACACCAAGAGTTCATTATTTACAGTAAATTATATTCCCCATTCTCACATGGTCTCCATGAAGATGAGTTATAAATATTTTCGTGATCCTTCCAAGACGAACTGTACTTCTCATTAACTGGGTCTGACTACCCTCACCGCAATCAAACAACCAGCAACCACCCACCTCTGAGTTGAAGGGAAAGGAAATAAGAATAGTGGGTGGAGGTGTGTGAGTGAAACCATAGATAGATCTATGGGGAAACACATAAGTACAAAAGAGGCTATTTTTACCAGATCTTAATGCAATACAGGAGGCTCCACGTACTGGTGAAGGATATGCAGATCCTGTACCAAGAAATATTAGCTCAATAGCCATTGATAATTTCAGAATCCCTGCTCTCATCGGCTTTCATCAACATTAACACTAGTGTGGCCGTGGAAAGGGTTTGGCTCCACCTTTAATTTACCACTCCTCTAATTTTAGACTTCTTCTCTAGTAGCCGAGTAGCTCGGTATGGTCGTTCCTATTCTTCTTCGTCGTATGTTCCTGGTGTCGTTGTCACTGTGTGTCCTTGTCCCAGTATTCTGGATACTAATGAAAAGGGAAGACAAGCTAGAAAGTATCAGTACTCGTACAGGTAGTACAATTAGGAACATTAACCGAGACTCTCAACCATTGATTGACTCCTTGATGGTGAAAAGTAGTGACAGACCAGTAGTTAACAAATCACATGTTGAGCCTGGAGTCTTAGTACTGTATAAATACAGGTCTAATTCAGAGCTCAAGATTGTGAGGAGTCTACTCCAAGCTCATAGGATACAGCACGAAACCTATGTAATGTCAACTTCACGTCATATACCAAAACTGGTTCGTACTGATCTGCCAGTCATAGTTGGAAGGTATAGACTGGTAATAGTGCTGGACGTTTTTAATTTTATATCCGAACCCTCAATCCATGAACTATTCACAGAATACTGTCAGAGATTCGATGCTGTTATGATACTTGTGGCTAGTGGTAAGGAGAAAATCATTACTTCTGTACTGGGTAAACAGGTGTTTGAGAATGACATTAACCTTCTAACGTTATCACAGTCTGTTCACATTAATTACCTTAAAGTCCATCAAGCAGATGACTTTGTTTATGCTAAGGATGGAGGCGAGTGGAATTGGAAAAGCAATGATAGTAGCCTGATTAGTTTCCTGCCTCATAGAATCTCACCAGTAACTGGAAAATCAGTGCCTTACAGTCCCAAAGTAATAAGTAAGCGAATTCAAGTCCTGGCAAGTGTACATTTTCTTCATAATGGGATTCAACGCACTTTGCCTGTTGCAATTATTGATCGGAACTCAACTGACGGTGTTCAAAGAGTGTTCTTTGGGACACCGATGTCACTTAGCATAGCTAAACTATTATTGCTGGATGTTATGCACATGTTTTCTAAGTCATATTCAATCATGAGACTATCAAAAAGGAGGTGGATTCAGATTGATATTGATGATACGTTTGTAGCTCCACTAGGCTCAAAGATGACTGATAGTGATGTAAAAGTAAGCTAGTTATACTTTTATAACTTTTATTTGAAAATTATAAATGCCTGTATGATAGATATATTCGTAACATTAGTAATTATTGTTATTAGTTATAGAGTAATATATCTACTAGTATTTGAGTACTAAATTATGTCATTAATTAGATGAATAGTGAAGTTTGAATTCCATTTAGGTATTACTAAAAGCTCAGCAGACTTTTCAGAATATTATACCTGGCTTTAAGTTTAATCTTGGATATTGTGGTGAACTTTATCGTGTTGGTCTTCCATCAGAGACGAAGGGAGACGAGATGTTAGTATCTCATTCAGAACAATTCAATTGGTTTGGTCATACATTTGCTCACACAAAAACTCATACATTATCACTTAATGAGCTACACACTTTAATGAAGCTGAACCAACAGTTTGCTAAGGTACAATAATGCTGCCTTATGCATGCAATTTTCAAGTAAATCTTGATATATATTTAAGCTTAATTGTTACCTGGTACGTGCACTATACTATTCCTTTTTTATTTCAGAACTATAGCATCACTGTCAATTCACATTACTCAGTGTCACCACATCACTCTGGCATATATCCAATACATGAGCCACTATACACAGCTTGGCGTGATGTCTGGGACATATTAGTGACTAGCACTGAGGAATATCCTCATCTTAGACCAGATCACATGAGAAAAGGATTCATTCACAGTAAAATTAAAGTAATATTGTATGCATTATAATAAAAGAGATAAATTTTGGAAGAGTAATAGTGTGTAAAGTTTGTTAATATTAAAATTAATAGAAATTGAGAATTTTCTGAAGTTTATACACCCTTTCACAAAATGGTCTAACTGCCAAAATAAAGCATTGTCACAAAAGTTATTGTTTCAATTATCCTTTATTATTGTTACATGTACATGTAAATGTCATGTCATATACTCTTTATTACTGCAGGTGTTACCAAGACAAACATGCCATTTGTTTACTCATATAACAAAGTATGAAGACATCATTGGTGGGAGAGATCAACTGATTGCATATGCAGAAGGAGATGTTTTTAGTACTATCTTATATAATCCTGTTAGTCAATAGTTTGTGTATGCATGAATGCATGTACATGTATTTATTGGCCTCGCCTAGCTTTACGTAGGCGAGGACTAGGTACTACTGTTGTCTGTCTGTTTTTCATGTGTAACTGTGCCAGGGTTTTCCACAAAGCATGTTTTAAATGAGCCAAACAGCATGGCATTTGGAGCAACTTTAAAAATTCATAAAAATGCAGTTTTGATTGGAACGGGCGTCATATTTCTACAGTACACAAGTACATGTATGTGTATTTAAAAATTTTTTAATGAAAAATTCTCTTATTGTATTCTTGACAAAATTTGGCTAAAAGGGGCTTTGATCCAATTTTTGAGAAACTTTAAAAATTTGCAAAAGTTCTAATTTGATTGGAATCACTTTAAACTTTCTACACAACATAAGTACATGTATATGTATCATAAAATGGAAAATTTTCTTTTTGTGATTTTGTTCAAATACCCTGTACTATGGTATAAAAAATTACTGGGTCTTTTGCCCAATTTTTGAGCAACTGATAACAATAATTATGTACATGTATATTACAATAGGTATCAATTTTTATGACTCATTCCGGCAATTATGCAAAGGATCATTTAGCATTGGACCTTTTCAGTTTGCTGTTTGACTTCATTAGAAAATGGACTCAAATTGAATTGGTGACTGATACTCCAATTAATCTTGCTAATGCTTACTTTGAAATATTTCCTGAAGATAAACAGCCAGTGTGGACAGTAAGTCAAAAAATCATATTTTTATGCTTATGTTTTTATTAATACAATTTTTATTACATGCTTATAATTTCTGATTCATGTTTATTTCCTGATGTGGATTATCTATACATTTTAATATTGTCTCATTTTATTTTTGTTTTGATTGGAATGTTTTGTTGACAAATATTTGTAATTTTCTAGTCGCCTTGCCAAGACAAGCGTCATATGTCCATCTGGTCTGGCAGAAATTGTAGTCAGCTACCGTCACTTGTAATACTTGGTCCACAGAAGTCAGGCAGCACTGCATTACACTTCTTTTTAAAACAACATCCTCGATTATTAACTAACCCTATGACAACTCATGCTTTTGAAGAGGTCCAGTTTTTCAGCAGTGATTTATACTACAATAAAGGTGTGGATTGGTGAGTATTGATATATGTGTGTATGCATGAATGCTCTATACTTTATTGTATTTTAATACTGCAGGTACATATCTAATTTTCCCACTCCTAATTCTACTTCCACTGGGACTTTAGTATTTGAAAAAAGTGCTACATATTTTACTCACTTATTAGCCCCAGAGCGTATGCGTATGTTGATACCTAAAGCTAAACTGGTTGTTATATTAGCAGATCCTATTAAGAGAGCTTACTCGTGGTATCAGGTATGTGTACTATGTAACACAACTTTTATTATCAGACACGAGTATATGTAATAGTAATAGTAAAAATGTCACTAATAGTAACTATTTTGAATTCAAGGTATGTATTGTAATAGTGTTTGTAATATAATTTGAGATATCTGTCAGTATTTTAACCAAGGGACATGATAACTTAGGGGTGGGGCATGGGCTAATTTGTTGCACCTCTCAGACCTCTGAGTTTAAGGGGAGAGGCATGGTGTTTTAGCAGAAATTTCTACAAAAAAATTCCTTTTCTGGTGCAATGTATTGTAGAGAGTTTGACTTGTTTTTAATCAAGATTAGATTTTTTATGAGTTTTTAAAGTGCTCAAAAACTAGGTCATAAACCCTGTACTATAGGACATTATGTTCTGCCTAATATCATCCAATTTTTTTTAGAACTCTCTATTGTATTACAATTTCTGATACATACTGCATATACTTACATTGTCTAATAATTTTGGATTGATTCTGATCTCAAAACCATCAAAGTTGGATTTTTAGAGTTTTACCAAATACATGTACATGTACATAGTATTAAACAGGACTTTTTACCTTCTGTTAATGCATAGTACAGGGTATTTTGTGAGGAATGGCTAAGAGAAATTATTTTTTATTTTTATTACATTATCTGGTGCATATGTTGTCTAAAAGTTTGAGCTTATTCCAATGTTTTAAAATAATTTTTTGGAAAGTTAACCAAAGACACTGTACAGGGTATTTTGACTAGGAGAAAAATTTTCCATTTTCTGATGCATACAATTATGAGTAAAAAATTTTGTGGGCATGTTTTTGTCATAAGCTCTTAAATTTAAGGAGATTAAATCTTGCATGTACATGCATTCTATAGATGCACATAATATTGTTACATTTTCTAAAGCATATAAATGTTCTTATGTGTCACAATATATGTCTCAAAGTTTGAGCTAATGTATCACATGACTGTTTATATAATTTTCATGATGCAAATCATGTCTCAACGAATTTAAATTATTTTTATATATATTTTTACACAGCATGTCAAGTTTCACAATGATCCAACAGCATTGATCCACAACTTTACATCAGTTATTAAAGCTAGTAGGAAGAATAGCTCGTCTCAGAATCTTTTGAATCTCAGATCACGTTGTCTTCTTCCTGGCATATATCATGAGCACCTTGAGAGATGGTTAGAATACTTTCCTCAGAATCAAGTTAGTTATTTTAACGAAACATTTGCACTTTGCAATGATAGTAATAGGTAATATTATTTACCTCTGTCTTATTGTAATTATAGATTTATTTTGTTGACGGTGGTGAACTTGTCGATAATCCTATTAATGTTCTCCTTGGTCTTGTGGAATTCATTGGTGTAGAATATTTGGATTTCGGCAAAATACTTAAGTTAGTTAATGTAACATTTCTACACAAGTGGTAGGGTCTAATTTTTAATCTGTTGTTGGATTTAAATTCTAATGATAACTATAAATATCAAGTACAGTCTACACACAATCTAATTCAATGATTTATGGGAGATCATACAAATATGCAAACTTGGTTCTTTTAAAATTTATTGCCTGTAAATTTTTTGCAATAAATATCTTTTGAAATTTTATTATTAATTTTATTACTATTAAATTTTGTTAGGTTTAATCCCAAGAAAGGATTCTACTGTGTAGTATCAAGTAGCAAAAGAAGTAGAACTATCTGTCTTGGCAGAAGCAAAGGACGACAGTATCCAGCACTATCAAAAGAAAACACTCAGTACCTAGAGCGATATTATAGTGCTCATAATCGTAAACTTTATCAAATGTTAATGAAAATGTCTAGAAGGCCACCAACATGGCTAATGGAGGAAGCATCTTATAGGCAAATAAATTAATTGTTTCATTGACTCTCATTCAATTATCATTCACTAATTTCACTTTGCTTTTAAAATTCTAGATTTAATACTATATTATTGAACAGAGCAAATGCTATTTCTTCCTTTATCCAAGTGTCTAGATCCTTTATTCTAGGGAGGGGCATTGTGGTTTAATTAGGCCGGTTGGCCTGAGGCCAGTGCAAATTGCAAACCATTATAGACCACCCTAGGCGTGAATTGGAAAAGTTATGAATTTCATTAATTTTATATACGGTATCTGCCCACACATCATAATTGGCTGCCATTTTGGTTGGCAAGTTTATTATTGAATTCAATGGAGGCACGAAGAAAATGCCTCACTTACCTGCTGTAGCTCTATCAATAGCTAAAAAGCGCTTGTTATAAAAAAGAACAGCTGCCTATAAGCTTCTCCTGTCAAGGATTTGGTCAAATTTGCTCCAGAATTCTTAATACAGGTTTGTTTTTATGTTGGCCCGTTTGTTCTCCATTGAAAGTTGCCAACCAAAATGGCGGCCGAAATTTATTTCATCCTAAACCACGCCTTACAACCGTAAAAGTTTCTAATAATCTTCCTACGCATTCAATTCTCGCCTAGGGTGGTCTATAGAAATTAGCATAGAAGATAATTGTCCAAATCGCGCACTTGTTAGCTAGGACTGCTTTCTCGACTGGACTGCTTCACCTACACTCAGCGAAGAATAACCAAATTGGCTGAATTTTTCATTATCTGGTAAGGTCATTTTAAAGAAATCACGGTGACCATGAATCATGATATCGTGTATGATGCATGCTTTTAGTGTACTGCTGCAATTATCACTGCTGTGCTTTTCATTATAGGCTCCATAATGTATTGTGCTTCAATACATAAAAAACTAACATCACTCTAAAGACCTTACGGCTCCTATGTAACTGGGGGTCAAGCCTCACTTCCATTACCATCTCTTTCAGTGAAGGGTATGACTGATCCAGTACTAAGTCTACCATTGACAAGAGCACAAGCTCAAGATATCATATGTGTTGCTTCACTAAGACATACACCATATGGAGGTGGCTCTCCAGCGACACCGGGAAGAGGAGAGCCTGGAGAGGATGCTACTGTGTCCACACATTGTTATCAATTGGATGCTGATCTGAAGTTCACTATCAAAAATCCAAAATGGTCTAAGTCTTTACAAAAAAGAGTCATCAAATAGAAACAGACTTATCATGTGGGTCTGACTCCATCACTTGCAAACTCGATAAACTATTGCTGTGTGAACCTGGAGGGTTCTTCAAAGTAATGAAATTATATTACTCTAATAAAATTCATAGTATGACTAGTGTAGGCATTAATTTTATTTATTATCACCTGTAGAAAATGCATGTATAGTTCTATTGGAGCGGCCTATTAGCAGCTATTTGCGGTGCATGCATGGCAAGCTGACTTTGTATGCATGTAGATTTAATACACAAACCTTGCAACATCAAATACACATCTGATAATGATAAAACCAGGCTTGCATAGTCACATTAGGCTTAGTTACAGTGTTGTACTTAGAATAAAATTTATGGAAGAGTGGGAGAAAGTAAAATATTGGTTATTGTAAATGTAAAGTAAATATTCTTTTAGGTTCAGCTTTGCCTTTGCTTTACCAAAGTACCCCCTAGTCTAACCTTTCGATTCTACTATGATACAATTACAGAAGGACATGCATGCCTTGTAGATACTTTTATAATATTTTTAGCTATAGCAAAAAATAAGCTGTCATTGCTAATAATACCTTGGTAAGCAAATTACCATAATTATCGAGACATCACTATTATTTACTATTGTCATCCTATACTTTTACATTACGACTGTGCTGTGTAAAAATTATTTCGCTCTGCTTTATTTTAAAACTATTTTGGAATAAGTAAAAACAGCATAAAAATTTAAATTGAGAGCACACTGCTTGAAATGAAAATACAAAAACTACCAAAATATCTAAAATATTGACTAATAATAATTACATTATTATGTGTGAACCTGGTATCTATTTTAGTCATTTGTAAAAGTTTTGTAAGTCTCAGCAAATCCTGGTAGGAGTCTTGGAGGAAGTTCATCATCATCATAGATATTATTTTTATTATTACTACTTGGGCTCATAGCTGTAATGAATTTATTTGAAAAGCAGTGTCTCATGCAACAAACGTAATGGCCAATGTAGCACAATAAGTAAACAAGAGGAAGTGACATCAATACAACTTGAAAAACTGCTACTAGTGTGGTTGTAATATTATTTGGTGCTAACTGTAGAGTATTGATGAGGATGAGATCAATAAGAAGGAATGACTTGATGTGATTGTGGAATTTCTCCTGAAAAGGTCCACACAAGTAATGCACAAGCAGGATACAGAGAATAAGGACCTCTTTTGTCATGATATTCCAAAATTTGCCATCTGATGAGTAAATTGGAACAAGAACCAATAATATACGATACAAGAAGAATAAACCAGCAAAGCATCTACAGTTATCCTTAAAACAACCTTGAAATGAATCTAAGAATGGTTGCAGTTTCATTCTTAATCTGTGAAGAGTGTAAGTAACAGCATTCCTTCTAAAGTTCAATGCACTCACTCTTACCAATAGAGGCTCTGATAATAAAATAATAGGAGGAGGTAGTATGATAACCATTAGACAAATGATAGCTGGTGCAACATATTTAAGATGATCGTCAGACATGTATGACATGTCTCCATTATATAGA